GACTAAAATCTATATTAAGGAAAATAAGTTTTGATGGAGGCATTTTATGTATCGTTAAAACTACTTTTGTTTTATTGTCCCTCTTTCCATTGGGAAGGAACCTTGACAGTAGTTGTTAAGAAAAATATCTGAAATGTTTATATTAAGTTGGGTGCAATTTAATTGGACTAAAAAAATATATATGTTTAACAAATAATTTAAAAAACACATGCTAAAGAATGGAAAGTGGTTGCTGTAGGTAGATATCTTTTAGAAAGCTTGAAGGGGCATCTTTTCCATTTCTGTGTCAGAATCCTTGAGAAGATCTGCTTGGCAGTCTCCATTTTTAAGAAGCTTCTCGGGGGTGCCTAGATGGCTTGGTTGGTTAAGCGTCTGACTCTTGACTTCAGGTCAAGTCATGATCTCACTGGTTCATGAGATAGAGCCTCAAGGCGGGCTCTGTGCTGATAGCACGGAGCCTGCTTGGGGTTCTCTCTCTCTCCCTTCCTCTCTTTGCCCCTCTCTCATGCATGCACACACACTCTCTCTCAAAATAAATAAACTTAAAAAAAACCTCTCAGGTGATTTTTATGCATTGTAATGTTTTAGAAACATTGCTGAACTCTCCACCTACAGCTTTTATCATATTAGCATCTGCTCTTTTGATGGAAACTACTCTTCCTCCATGAGGGGAAGAACAAGGATGAGCCGAGGTACTGTACCTGATGACCTGCCCTGACCTATGCTGTGAAATTTCCCAAACTTTCAGTGTCAGCCTTAGTTTCTGCTCTAAGCCCTCTCTCAACTGTGGCTCCTGTGGTGACGGATCATGTGAATGGTGATACACACTTTATATGTTCCCTGAAGTGTCAGTATTTCCTAGCAAGGTAGGAATTGCAGATGAGGATATTTAAGAGAGCTTAAGTGGTCTTCTGGGGCCAGGTTTGAAACTGAGGTAAATTTATTTTAAAGATCGATACCTGCTACCCTCCTTTTTAGTGGAAAGAAAAGGGGCTGTGGATTCAGATATGCTTGGGTTGGAAGTGTGCCTCTCTCATTTATTGGCTTTACTAGCAACTCTTAACACTTCCCTAACTTTGGTGTCTGCATCTAAAAAGTAGGCTCAATAATTGTTCAATTCTAAGGTTATTGTGAGGATTAATGACCTGATGCATATTTTTAGAATGCTTCAGCATATTTTTAATAGTTTTTAACCCAAGTAGGCATTTCAGTAAATGATGACTATTATTTAGTAACTTAAGATAAGGCATATATGCCTTATGAAGTTAACCATTTACAAGCTATATGATTTTGTCACATTATGAAGTATATATTTTTTTCTGTTCCAATGTGGTATGATAGCTAGAAACAAGGAAGATACAACATGTGCGTAGGGAATTTTTCAGGGGGGAAAAGCAATGTAGGTGCCTTTTTTGTTGTTGTTGCTACCCATATCCTAGTAAGTTCTAAATTTGATTCTAGCCCAGACCTTTCTTAAATCTCCAGACTATTATAGCTCTGATGTTTACATTGAAACCCCTGCAAGACATCTCCAACAGGTAATCCTTTAATATGCCCTAGTGTAATTTGGTCTCTTTCTTCCAACAGCAGATCTTCTTCCAGGTTTCCTTATATCACTGAATGGAATTGTTATCCAGCTTCATTCTCCACAAAATTGAATCTTTCACCAAATTCTTCTGTTAGCCCATAAATCTTCCTGCCTTCTCTCCGCATCTTTACCACTACCACTTTAGTCTAATCTGTCACCTCACACCTAACTCCTCCCCTTTACCTTTCTTGCTCATCTCTGTAACTCAGCCAAATTTGGTAATTTTTCAATGTGTAATTGATTGATACTATATTTAAAACCCTGTGGTAATTTTGCCTTATTGACTTCTTCTGCCCCATTTTGTCTCAGATATGTTCCCTCTCTAGCTGTGACTGGCCCTTCTGCTTCTCTTTCTTGACTCAGAATGTGCTTTTCTCATAATGCTTTGAGACCTTAGTATTTGCTGTTCCTAGACTGCCCCATACTTTTCAGATCTCATCTTAAGTAGTCTTTAGGTCTTTGCTGACCTCTGGGCTAAATCAACTCTCCTGTTATTAAATCTCATGGCTTACCCCTTCCCCTGTTTTTAATAGCATTGATCTCTGTTTACAGATACGTATTTGCATCGTTATTGGATACTGTCTGATATCCCAAGTAAAATGTAAGTTCTATGAGGGTTGAGAATTTCCGTGTTTACAAAGGCCTAGAACAGCCCTGACAACAGATGAGAAGTAATAAATGACTGCCTGAAATACATAGCTAGGCAATTAAAATACAAAGTGTTTAATTCTAAAGTGAGGTAAGTACAGATGGAGTCACAGTGTTGGCATATTAAACATTGTTATTTGGGAATACTTTAGTTATTGTAGCATTTGTTTGATCAGCCTCTAATTTTACTTTTTCTGTTAAAAATAAAGATAAGTAGTATTTTGAATTTAAAATTTCCCAGTACAGATTAAGATCTTTCATAAGTTGATTGTACTTGAATGTAGCTTCAGAGTCAAAACTTCCCCCTTTCCTCACATCTGCACAGGATTCAGAAGCTTACAATTCAAAAACATATAGCTGGTTACATACTTCTTGATGCTTACCATATGGAACGTGTTCATGTATGTTTGTTGCCTATGGCATAACAATTTTAAAATGCTACCAGAATTTTCAAAGTCAAATAATCATAGATTTTATAGTAGGTTTCTCAGCTTTTATAAAAATTAAAAAGGAATCAAGAAGATTAATATGATATTGGAATTAAGCTTCTGTGTTGCTCGTTGGTATTTGGACCTCAAGTTAAGTGCATGACTATTGTTGGCAGCTTGAACTTTTATTCTGAAAACTCTTAAGACTTTAGTATTTTCTTGGAAGTTGATTTAGTACTGTTGTTTACATTTTAAAATTAGTGCTTTGAATAAGATTTTGGTTTCCATCTCTCCTGAATTCTCCCTAGGAGTGCACAACTTCAAAAATAAAGAGGCACAGTCAGCAGAAAAACGAGGTGGTCTGAGCATTTATGCGTTAAATATGCATGTTAATTAGGAAAAAAATTAGAAAAATATGAAAACAGATGTTACATAAATTATTGCAGTCCCAGGGCAGCAGTAACTTATACACTGACAATAATTTTTATATGTGCATGTGTATGTCTATTTCTAGATTTTCTCAATATTTATGCAATTCCATAGAGGATAACTAGAAAAAGAACTGGTATATCCTTTCAGTGAGACTAATGGTAAACATTTTCTCTGCATATAGATGGCTGAGGAAGTCTAGTTTCATACAGTATTACTGTAGAGATAAAGCCTCTGTTAGCTAACTCTGCCTTGTAGGTCTTTTTCTCCTTTTTGGTTTCTCTGATGGTATGCCAATAAAATATTTCATTGGATATATCCTGTCAGAGCAAGAAAGTAAATTACTTTCGGAGCAATGTATGACATGTAGAATTGACCTGAGTGTAAAGTATGTATTTAGAAATAAAACAAATTATAACTACTCAGGATACTGATTATATTAGCAGTTTTTCTTTGGTTGTGAATAGCCATTATGAAGTAATAGCCATCATTCTCTGAATAGTATTGACACAGTAGTGTGACAATATAGATTAACTATTATATAAACACACATTTGTGAAATACACATATATTGGAATAGTTGAAAGATATTTGAATGTCCTTCACTCTAAAGAGCCACCCATAGAATAAAAATGGTCTGTATTTTTACAAAGGAAAGATAAGAAATGGAGACATGTAGCAATTTTTAGCTCAACCATACAGAAAAAGCATGTGACTATATTACTGTCCAAGGAGGTGTAGACTATATTTAGGTATCTTTCACACATATATTGTATAATTTAGAAATGAATTATTGGTAATTTTTCAGATAAGATTGAAAGTTAAAATAAGGAAATGCTACATCAGAACATAATAAATCATTCTCTTTATCAAACAAACAGAACATGGATTGTATTCAATACAAGAGCATAAAAGTTTCTGGACATCTGTTTAGAGGTCAATGCCACGTTCATCTGTTCTTTACAAATCATACCTCGTTACTTGGTTTTAATAGCATATGATGCTAAAATGTGTTTTAAATAATTTCTTTTGAATCTCAGTAGGTTTCAGTTATATCTATTGTCATAATGCTTTTCAGTTCTGTGGTATTGATTTATGTTTCACATTATAGTACCTAATTACTTTTGTCCTTTTGTACATATGTTGAGCTACTAATAAGTTCTAACAGGTTATAGGGAGTAAACTATATAGAATGAAATCTAGAGGAAAGTGATAGTAATGTTTAGTAATTTGATATTATTATTAAGAGGTTCTTTACTTACGTTAGATAGCTATTTAAGAAAGTCAGTTGTCATTCTTGCAGATTTCATGTAGGTTGTATCTGTGTCATATGACTTACGGAAGAATATTAATTACAGGTGATAAGACATTTTTCTTTTTCTCTATGCAAAAAGCTAGGGAAATTAGTTTTTACATCACAAATAATATTTACTTGTTGCACTGATACATCAGTATTTGAATTTGACATTTTATTAATGTTTGGAATCCTTTACAATGGAATTTTTCCCCATGTTTGTTTTCAAATGGCAGTTTTCCATTTTTTTATTCTTTGTAATTTTAGTACTTGATATTATTTTACTATATATTAGAATAGTGTGTTTATTATTTGAACACTTTCATGTCAATGAAATGAAGTTGTAACGTGATTTGTTTCATATGGAGGTGTTTTAGATTTCAAGTTTTTGTAGTACCATTTATTTTAAGTAAAATAAAATGGCTTCCTTTCTTCCAGAAGTTAAAATAGATGATAGAAAGAGTGATTAGTGAGTAGGCTAACACTTGTCATCCAAAAGCTTAAAATAGTATGACCTAAATTTTTTCAGCTTGCCTTTTTATTGTTTGCTTTGGTTCAGGGTTCCTTTTGGGATAGGAATGTGTGAGGCTATTTTATTTATTTATTTTTCTAGGTATTTGCTTCTTTGTCAGAAGCTTGGTTGAGGGAATACTCAAGTGATCTCTATTTCTTCATTCTTCTTTGCTTCCTGTTTGCCAACCAAGACTTGTATTTGGAGAACTCTGTTGTACTGAATCTGAAGTCATCTTCAGATTAGAGCATGCATTTTCAGGTGTCAGTTAGATTTCTGGATCAATAAAGGTCTCCTGAAAGGTAAGCATATATTTATTCAAAATGTACCTTTAAAAATTGAATGCTCTCAGTATCTGTCTTAGTCTCTGGGCTGCTGTAACAAAAATTCCATAGACTTGGTGACCTACAAACAGCAGAAATTTATTTGTAACAATTCTCACAGTCTTCACAGAGACTGAGAAGTCCAAGATAAAGGTGCCAGCAGATGCAGTGCTTGATTCACAGACCACCATCTTCTTTGTGTGTCCGCACATGGTGGAAGGAGTGAGAAACCTCTCTAAGGTCTCTTCTTATAAGGACACTAATCCCATTCATGAGGGTTCCACCTGTCATAGACTCTGGGTCTGGAGTCCTCTCTTGTCCAGCAAGAAAGTGGGATGCAGGACTAAAAATGCGAGAGAGGCTAATGTCCTGGGAGGAGACAAAAGTCCCCAGTAAGAGTCCTTGCTCTGTTTTTATGAGGATCAGAAGGCTTACAAGTGTGATGGATATGCACAAAGAGACAAGGAAACCATGAACATGAACTCATGGGTGGGGGGAGGGGAAGAAGGTTTTGGAGATACGTGGTGTTAGAGGTTTGGGTAAATACAAAACAAAATCTGGGTGGAAGGTTGTTTACAGCAGAAGAGAGGCCCCACCTCTGTTTACCTAAACTGGCCCAGGGGACAAGAAAGCCTGAGCTTGCTACCTCACTGTCAGCAAGGCATCTTTCTTTTGCTAATTAGCTCTGCTCTGGGCAACTTTGCCCCACTGTGGTCTGTAGCCCTATTTACCTGTTTACCTAATTTGATCCTTCCTTCCTGTGAAAGCAGCTTTCTGCTATACTAAGTTAGGGGGCCTTTCTGCCCTGAATACCTAATCTTGTTTACCTCATCTTGGATGTTTTTTCCTGAGATTCCCTGTTCCTATACCTTTGTCCTATACTGGGGGCCTTTGCCCCATTTACCTAAGGTTATTTACCTGAGCTTGTTTACCCAAACTTGGGTGTATATATCCTATGACTTTCTATTTCTTTATGCCTTGTTAACTCATCCCTGCAAGCTCAGGGAATTCCTAAGCTTATTCCACATCTCCACCCTTATAATCTATATTCCCATTTCATCGTGTATTTCCATTACATTGGGAATTAAGATTTCAACATGTAAGTTTTGGGGGGACATAAACACTTATCAATAAAATATCCTTATTATAGTAATATGTTCTGTAGATTCATTTGTGTGTGTGTGTGTGTGTGTGTGTGTGTGTGTGTGTGTGTGCGCGCTTACACAATCTGCCAGATTTAGATCGTAGGCTTTTTCAGGGAATGATGTTGTTCTCTAACAGTTACTCAGAGTTCCCTGATTACTTTCTTTCCACTTCTTACATCTATCTAGTCATCAGTTTCCAATCTTTTCCTTACCCTTTCCCTTATTGTTTTCCTTCTCCTTTAACTGAGCCTTCATAGGGGGCCTTAAAAAATGTTTTCCTGCCAGCGTACTTTTAGCACATTCCATATAGAAGGCTTTTTGGTATCCATATCTCTTTCTGTCCCCCTCCCTGCCACCTTCATTAAATTTGTTAAAGGAGTAGCAAAACTAGAATTATTGAACTTAGAGTTGAAGGTGTCTCAGATAGGAGGAATTCACATTTATTTTAACACAACCATTGTAAGGAATAAAATTTACGTTTATGAGCCAATTTCCACAGGCATAAATGTACCAATGAAAGTGAAACAAAAGCTGAAATAGTTTTTACCCTAGCTACCTGAAATGTGTGCAGTGCTCTATTCTATTCTAATCTTTGTATATTTCTTTTATTACATGCTGCTTCCCATAACTAAATTTATTTCCCTGTCTAGTAACGGATTGCCTTTGCAATTTCAGAAACCATACTTTATATCACCTGTGTGTAAATCATCACCTGTGATGCTTTACATCACTTGCTCATGACTGACTCATTGGGAAGTAAATGGAATCCATTTGTTTTCTATCTCAGTCAAGCTGCCCTTTATCTGTCTTCTCCATGCTTCTCATCTCTCTCTATATTCACTACAAGCTATCACATGTTGTGGTCAAAAAGCTGGGTAACTGCTGGGAAACACCAGAGCACTTAGTTGGTTCTTCTATAGTGAGAACACAGGTACAAATGGTCATATCTCAAAATTTGAAGAAGGGATAAACCTTAGATAGAACCATCCCTTATAGTTAAGTATATATTTCTTTATTCTCTTCTTGCTTGTTCTCTCTATGTAAATTGTATGTGCATGCTGATGCCCTCAAACATTCTGGGTTTAACACATTTTTAACTTTTTAAGTCCTCTATATCAGCTTAGAATAACCCAGATCCTTTTGCAAAGTGATCTCTTTCAGTACCCCTTCCCATCACATTTATCGTTTTTGTCCTTTAAAAAATTGCAAGCATTTTTTTCTGATTATAAAAGTAAAAGCTGTGGTAGAAAGGATGGAATATATAGAAAAGTAAAAAGATGATAAAAATTATCCCTAATCAAATGCAGAAAAAGAAATTCTAAGAGAGAAGTTCATAGTGAAAAATGTTAACAGTAAGAAAAAAGAAAGAGCTCAAATAACTGTATACCTAAAGGAACTAGAAAAAGAACAAACTAGGCCGTAAGGTAAGAGAATAACAAAGAGCAAAAATAAATGAAAATGAGACAAAAATGGCAAGAGAAAATATCAGTGAAAGTAAGAGCTATTTTTTCCAAAATACAGACAAAACTAGCTACATGTCAAAAAAAAAAAAAAAAAAAGAGGACTCAAAAGATAAAATTAGAAATGAAAGAGGAGATATTATAACTGACACCATAGAAATACAAAGATCAGGGGTGCCTGGGTGGCTCAGTCATTTGAGTGTCCAACTTTGGATCAGGTCATGATCTCACAGTTTGTGAGTTTGAGCCCCACATTGGGCTCTGTGCTGACAGTGGAGCCTGGATCCCGTTTTGAGTTCTGTGTCTGCCTCTGTCTTTGTGCCTCCCCTGCTCGTGCTCTGTTTCTCTCCTTCTCAAAAACAAATAAACATTAAAAAAAGAAAAGAAAAGAAATATAAAGATTATAAGAGACTACTGTGAACAATTATACACCAAAGAATTAGGCACCTGGAAGAACAGAGAAATTCCTGAAAACTTACAACTTACGAAGGCTAAATCATGTCAAATAGAAAATTCGAACAGACCAATCACTAGTAAGGAGATTGAGTAATCAAAAACCTCCCAAGAAAGAAGAGTACAGGACCTGATGCCTTCACAGGTGAATTCTACCAAACATTTAAAGTAGGATTAATGCTATTCCTTTTCAAACTCTTCCAAAAAATAGAAGAGGAGGGAATACAGTTGACCCTTAAACAACATAGATTTGAACTGATGTGGATTCACTTTTATGTGGATTTTTTTGATAAATATAATATTGTACATGTGTTTTATCTTAATGATGTTCTTAATAAGAATTTCTTTCCTCTCTCTTTGTTGTAAGAATATAGTATATAGTACTTATAAATACAAAATATGTGTTAATTGACTGTTCATGTTATTGGTAAAGCTTCCAGTCAGTAGTAGGCTAGTAGTAAAGTTTTTGGGGAGTCAAAAGTTATCCATGGGTTTTCAACTGCATGGGGTGCCAATGTGCCCAACCTCCACATTGTTTTAAGAGTCAGCTGTATTTCCAAAGCCATTTATTTTATGAGGCCAATATTACCCTGACACCAAAACTGGATAAGGATGCTACAATGGAAGAAAATTACAGGCCAACATTCCTGATAAATGTAGATGCAAAACTCTTGTACAAACTGAACAGAAGTAAATTCAACAGTTCCTTAAAACGGTCGTATACCATGATCAAGTGGGATTTATTCCAGGGAGGCAAGGATGGTTCAACATCCACAAATCAGTCAATGTGATATACCACATTAATAAAATGAAGGACAAAAATCAAATGATAATCTCAGTAGATGCAGAAAAAGCATTTGACCAAATTCAACATTCATTTATGATAAAAACTGCCAACAGAGTGAGTGTAGAGGGAATGTACCTCAACATGATAAAGGCAGTATATGACAGGTCCACAGCTTACATCATACTGAATGGTGAAAGCTGAAAGCTTTTCTTCTAAGATCAGAAATAAGACAAGAATGGCCAAACTTGCCTTTCCCCCCCCTTTGCAAGGACCTAACTGTTCTTTACTTGGATTTTTCATCAGAGTTATTTTTGCAGTGAGTAATTATGATGGATGAGGTAATGTTCCCTATATACAAAGAGCCAGTCTCACCATTTTTATTTGACATAGTACTGGAAATCCTGGTGAGATCTGGCAAGAAAAAGAAATAAAAGGTATTCAATTTGGATAAAATGATATTTGGTGATAAAATAATATTTTTGTAAGGTTATCTACTGCCTTTGAAGAAATATCTCACATATCCTGGACTTTTATGAACCAGTAAACCAGAGCTTCCTGGGCCTTTTGCTGAAGTGTCATTCTCAGATTTCTTTTCGTTATATTGCTGGATTTGCTCCAATATTGCCTGGATCTCATTGTCATCTTTATTCCTAGGTTTCCTTTAAGTAAATTTTCAGAAGGTTAAATGGTGAAAGGTGTATTTTCTGACTTGTGCATATTAGATAATTTTTTATTGTTTTTATAAAATATTTTTCTTTTATTCTCACAGTTGATCATTTTGCTGGGTATTTCTAGGTTTAAAATGATTTTTCTCAAAACATCAAAGACTTAATCTTTTTCTGCCATCCATTGTTCCTCCTGAGAACTTTGAAGCCGCTGTCACTGAAAAGTGTTCTAGGTGATACCACAGTGAAAACAAAATAGAGATAATTCTTAACTTCATTAAGCTTGAGTTTTAAGGTAGAGAAGTCCACAAGAAGCAAGATAAATGTATTAAATATATAGTAGGTTAGATGGTTGTGCTATGAAGGCAAGAGCTGCAAAGGCTCTGATGTGAGAATATTGCTTATGTGTTCACAGAACAACAGAGTGGTCAGTGAGGCTGTAGCAAAGTGAGGTGAGAGGAGTAGCGAT